TTCCTCAAACACTGGGAAGCAGTATCACCTGGGGAGAGGAGACAAGAGGGATAGACCCCGGGGAAGATAGGAGCTCAGACACCTGCCTGAGAACAGATGGGACAAGGAAGGGGATAAAAGCAGAATGGCAGTGGCCAAAGAGACTGGGGGCAGTGGGGCAGGACCTGGAGCCACTTACCAGGCAAATGCTGGGTGAGGTTGAGTTCCTTCTGGTACCTGGGCTGAGTGTAGGACCAGATTCGCACCTCAGCCCCCAGAGCAGCCTCGAAGCAGTCAAATACTACAGAACCCTGTGAGGAGAGGGGTGGCAGAAGGCTGGTGGTATAGGGCTCAGAATACAGGCCAAGGGCTCTGAGCTCCTGTCCATGGACCACTCCACTCATCCCTTTCCCCAACCAATGATGCTATACTGTATAGCCTGAAATTCTCCCATTAACATTTCCTTTAAAGGCCCTCAATTCTAAACTAAAAAAAAAAAAAAGGCTCCCAGTTCTAAAGCACACCCCCTCAGTAGGGGTGTCAGCAGGGCAGGGATAAGGGCCCTAGCTATTTGAGTCCCTGTGCCCAACCCTGCTGTCCTGCATCACGTGGTCAAAGCTAAGATGATCAGAAACCCCTTCTCACACCCAGTGCCTCAGGGGTCCTCATGACTGCCCATTGAGGTGGGCCAGCAGATGTTCTCCGATTCTGTAACTTTCCAGGCAAGAGGATATTGGCTGGGAGCTGGGGGCTGGAGGGGAAGTCAAAAGGCTTGAGTGATTTGCCCCGGGGTGGAGATATATCTTCCAAACACATGTGGCCTCCTGAGGTAGGAAGAAGCTCCAACACCCTGCACCACAGTATGTACACGGAGCAGACATGGTACAGCAGGAAGTCCAAGAACTAGATCCAGCCCACAGACTTCCTCTCTCCAAGCCTCAGTTTCTCTCTCTGGAAAATGAGGGTAATAATAATGCCTCGCTCATGGGTGTTGTTTTTTTTTTTTTTTTTAATTTTTTCAACGTTTATTTATTTTTGGGACAGAGAGAGACAGAGCAGGAACGGGGGAGGGGCAGAGAGAGAGGGAGACACAGAATCGGAAACAGGCTCCAGGCTCTGAGCCATCAGCCCAGAGCCTGACGCGGGGCTCGAACTCACGGACCGCGATATCATGACCTGGCTGAAGTCGGACGCTTAACTGACTGCGCCACCCAGGCGCCTCTGTTTTTTTTTTTTTTAAATAAGTTTATTTACTTTGAGAGAGAGAAAGAGAGAGCAGGTGAGCACGGGAAGGGTAGAGAGGAGAGAGAATCCTGAGCAGGCTCTGCGCTGCGCGCTGTCAGCACAGAGCCCAACATGGGCCTCGATCCCACAAACTGAACCATGAGATCATGACCTGAGCCAAAATCAAGAGTCAGACGTTTAACCAACTGAGCCACCTAGGCACCCCATGGTGCTTTTGAATACACAAAGAAAGGAAGAATTAAGCCACCAGAGACCACGCTTGCTGCTGGGCATTACATCAGGTGTTTTACACATACCAACTCATCTATTTCTCACAACAGCCATATGAAGTAGGACTATTCTTATTCCCATTGTGGGCCTAGGTCAGGCACAAGGGGCTGAGGGCTTGCCCTATGCTTATGCATCAGCAAACAGAGCTAATGCACATGACAGCGCCTCATAGATGTCATATTTAGAAGATGGCTATTGGTATCATCATTATTTTGCATACCACAGACTGACCAGGCTGCACAAGGTCAACCGAGCACACACCTCAGTGGGGCCACTGTGAGGTGGGGTGAGCCTGCTGGAAGGAAACCTGACTTGGGCCTGGAGAAAGGCTGTGAGCAACAGGGCAGGGGTTTGGTCAGGCCCAGGGGCCATGGGCAAGGCAGGGCAGTGGGTCAGCCATCTTCCTATCCTGGGTTTCAGACTCCTCAGGATCAGCTGCTCCTCCAAACTTTTCCTCACCTTTAGGCTCTTCCCAGTGCCCTAGAAGGGCCCAAGAGCAAGACCCAGCTCAGGCCCCAGCTCTGGGCTGGCTTTGGGCTTGGCTTCATTCCAGAAAGCCCAGTGCTGAGAAGCAGGGGCCAGGCCTGGGGGGAGGGAGGGGGGGCTGAAGGGGGGGTGGAGTGAACAGAAGCCAGGCTGGTTATGGGGATCTTTTGGCCAGTGCTTTCCAGGAGAACACTGAGGATGCACAGGACTGCCTGCCAGACTCCCCAGTCCTTGTGCCCATCCCAGACACACTCACATGGGAACACACACAGTTATGGGATGACATGCTCACCATGCACAGCTAAGTGGATGGCCACTCGCACACAGAGGTCACAGTCAGTCTCCTGGTAGCACCTCAGCACCAGCTCTGTCTGCAGGCGTGTGGGCACCAGCACAGGGCCTGGGGCAGACACGATGCTCCCAGGTAGGCAGAGCACGTCACCATCTGTGCATAAAGGGCAGACTGAGAGCTAAAGCTGTTCAGAACCCATAGGGTAGTTGTACCTGACACCCCCAGAGGGCCAAGGGGCTTTGGGCTCTTCCTGGGCTTAAGGTGGGTGGTGAAAGGCATGGACTGGAACATCCCTTCCGCCAACCTGGGCAGTTCTTTTATTTCTAAAAGTAGGGCTACTCACCCCAGAGGTGGCAGGAAAGGCCCTGGGGAGAAGGTAAAGACGAGTTAGAGTTTATGCCACCGAATGTAGCCATTTTTCCCTGCCTGAGATCCCTGCCCACCTTTCCGGGGCTCCTTGTTCAAGTCCCTTCCAGGAGAAGACAAACTCAACGCTTGCCCCCTCCCCATTCTTCTCTTAACCCATCAGCACCAGACAGACCAGCCAGGGCAGTTCTGGCAGTAGTGACAGTGACAGGAGCCAGGCTAGGGCCCCAATGGGCCGCAGACTGAACCCTGAGCCTTCCCCAACACTCCCAGTGCCCCAGACTTACCGGAGAGCAGCGAGCAGTATCCTGAGGCCCCACAAGCCTCTCTAAAGAGAGGACCATGGGGCTTCGGCCCAGTGCCAAAGACAGCAGGAACCAGGGCACAGGCATCTTCCAGGTGCCAGAAGGCACCAAGGCCCAAGGCCCTGTCCTGCCCCCCCCAGGGGGGGGGCAGACACGGTACCTTTATTCCCACTCAGCCCCAGGAGGGGCTGGAATCCCTCCTCAGCCTGGGGTCCCAGTGCGGGCTTGAGCACTCCCTCTCCTGGGAGTCCTGAATGCCGTCCCAGACCCAGCCAGAGTGCTTTCGTTTTGGCTCCCGGCAGGCAGCTGGCTGTTCCCGCCCCGCCCTGTCCCTCCCACCAACACCAGGCCTGGGAGCCAGCAGCCTTGGACTGGGGTGGTGGCCTCACCTCCTTCTTTCCCTCTCCTCCTCCTCCTCCTCCCCCTCCTCCTCCTCCTCTGACACCTAGCTGGGAGGGGCCCCTGAAGAGTCACAGCTGAGTAAAGGAGCTCTTACTCACCCTGGGAGTCCCTAAGGAAGAGGGCCTGGGCAATCTTAGGGCATTTCCACTTGCCACGTGAATCTGGGATTTTGGTGCCTATTGAATCTCCTCATACTGGGCACTCCAGGTCCCTTCTCACATACTCCCTGGGACTTAGTGACCCTTTGTGGGACAGGAGCTCTAAAGGCAGGGACGAAGAGCACCAGAAAGTGGGCTTTTCACCACTTCCTGGCCTCTGCTCAAGTGTGGTATGGAGGAAAGGAACTCAGAGCCAGGCAGACAGGGGGCCCCATTTGTGCTGTTGTCATGCGCTGGCTACATGACAAATGGACCTTCCTGAACCTGTTCACAGTGAGAATTTCCAGGTCCTCCTTTGCCTTTTCAGAGGCATTGCTTGTGAGAATGTGAAATATGTGGTTGTAGGTGTGGACACGCAGGGTTTGGGCCCACAAACTGATGCATAACAACCCCCAGGCAGGGCTGTGCTGACCCTCCCTCCAACTCAGCATCCTGAGTACAGTAGAGAAGCACATTGTGTCCTTAGCTTATCCATTATATTCACCTTTATTTATTTTTCTTGATCTTAGTCACACCTGTGTCCTGGCCACTCAAGGCTGAAACCTCTTTCCCTGATCCCTCCATCCTCCTCTGGGCTGGGCTCCAGTCTGGGAAAGCAGTATCCTGGCTCAGAAAGGGGTTTTCTCCCACCCCCTGAAGTCACCCCTCGCTCAGAACTGCCATAGCTCCTGCCTCCTCTACCCCTGTCCCACAACCTCTCCAGCCTGGACTGGTTCATGTGCAAAATACTCTTTCCGGAATTTTGAAGAGAAGTGGGAAGATTCCCCCACCCCCACAGGACTGGGGTCGGTGGAGCCCTCAGTAAAGACCAACTCTCCCTGCTGGTTCTGAAAGGGTAATCCTAAGGAAGAAGCCAGGCACACGTGGGGAAGGGGCTGGGGCAGTGAGGGAGGTGCTCTGCTCCTGGGTTGGCAGACAGCGTAAGGATTTTTGGCCAGTAGTCCCGAGGTGGCACCCCAAGGATTCAAGGGTAGAAGGCTCATTCAGGGGTTCCAGCCAGTACCCCTACGCCTGTCTCTGCTCAGCCTCAGTTGGCAAAATTTGGCGGCCTCCCGTTCCAGCCGTCGGCACAGCTCCAGGCGACCCTGCAGGCACGGACGAGCCCCGAGGCGGCCCCAGCTGGCGGCTTCGGTGGAAGGTAGCGCATCTAACGCCTGCAGCAGCCGCGGCAGGTCGCGCAGCAGGCGGTAGCGTGGCAGGGCGCGCAGTGGCGGGGGAATGTCGCCCTTGGCGCAGAGGCGACTGAAGTAAGCGAGCAGCAGCAGCGGGCGCGGGGCCGCGCGGAGCAGGGCGCGCAGGGGCGCTGCGCCGGAATCGGGATCACCGGCCAGACTGGGGTCGGCACTGCTCCACAGCAGCAGCACGGTGCCCTGCTCCTGCGCCACGCGCGCCCGCGCCGCCCACAGCCACGGCAGCGGGCCCACGCGCGCTACGCGCGTAGCCTCCCACAGGTCCACGATCACGTCGCACCCGCCGCCCAGCGCTGCCCGAAGCAGTTCAGCCAGTGCTCCCACCAGGCGCAGCTGCGCCTCTGACTCCGCCGCGTGCAGCAGCAACACCGGCCGCGCGTGGCTCGGGCCTGGGGGCGGGAGCAGATGAACAAGGTGGGGGGGGGGTAAGAGACACCCCAGCACTTCCCCTCCCCCACTCCCCGCCTTGGGGCTACATCATAGGGTGCCTAGGAACTAGTATGATGTAGGAACCTAGTTCCTTATCTACGCTGTGGATGGGTACCCAAGGCAACTTTAGCCTATACTGTGCCTTTGGGCTAATAAGATGAAAGCTCCCTAGAAGGGGCCAAGTCTAGGTGCCAGGTTTGGCAGGTGCAGAGCAAGCTGGATTTCCGCCCCAATAGTCTCGTGCGCAGAGACTCTTAACAGTAACCACCTGCACAGAGGGACCTTTGTTCTGCCTTAACCATTCCTGACCACTAGGGGGCCTGAGGCTCCCCTTGGTGCAGCAGCACGGACCTGACTATCCGAGAAGGGAGTCTAGGCAGGGGAAGGGTGGGGGGCAACCAGCCTAGACGTTGGGCAGATCTGAATCCTCAGGTTACCCCCGAGTGTGCTTACCTGACAGTGGGCGCCGGCGAGTGAGGACCAGAACAATGCCCGAGAGGGTGGTGAGTGCCAGCAGTGCCAGGATCAAGAGCCCCAGGTGTCTATGAGAGACTGAGTCAAGCAGCGTGAGGCCAAGCCAGGGTCCTCAGTGCCCATCCTCCTTCTTACCCCACCCCACTCTCCCAAGAACTCACCATCCGGACACAAAAGGTGCTTCCAGGAAAACTGAACATCTGACCTCCACACCTGAAGGCACAGAGCCCCCCCATCCCTGTAAGCCAGGGTGGCCCCTCCTCCCAGGGGAAGTTGAATGGGGACAGAAGGGGAGTTCCCCTGGATAGGGAATTTCTCCAGCACAGGGTGTGTTTGGTCCAGCCCTGGCTGGGCACACAACAGGTCAAGAGTGGCAAACTCAAAAAATAAACTCAAAGTTGGCCAGGGTGTCCATGAGGACCCGGAGGGCACAGGCCCTGAATGAAGTAATCAGATGCCACTGAGCTCAAGCCATTGTCACCATGCCTGAATGTGGACACAGTACCAGGTTTTCTGATTTTCGAGGAGAAGCCAGAAATCAGCTTTTTAAAATATGAACTCTCCAATATTTAAATGGTGGCAACTAATTCCAATTTCAAACACCATGTTGGCCAAACCAAACATTTTTGCAGACTGGATTTGCCCCATGTGCCCCCTGAAGAGTAGATGCTAAGGGGGAATGTGCAGAGTGAGGGTAAGATTCCTTACCAGGACACAGCTCCCTGGCTTCAGGAAGGGAATGATAAGGTCTAGCGTCACTGGGCTTGACCCCTGAGTCTGTGGGAACAAAGAACAGAATGACTATCCCCATAGAGTCACATCTGGCTCTGTCCAGTCCGAGTCTTAGCCCATGCTCTTCCTCCTTTCTACTCCCCTCTACCCCCACCCAAATCCTACCCAGGCTTAAGGCCAAGTGCCACTGCTGACAAAAAAGTCTTCCCCCTGCTTCATTCTCAGATCCTGCTGTGATCATTCCTGGATCTGAACCACTGAACACATACATATTAATCAGGCGATCAGGCATTCATCAACAAACATACTATGGGTGCCTACTCTGTGTCAAGCCCTGAGGAAAGAAGACACAGATGTTATCTCTGTCCTCCAGCAGCTCGCAAACCAAGGAGGCTAATTATACCCTGCCTCCCTTCTCTGTCCCACATGTCTGAGGGGATGGTTTGTCCATGGGAAAGAACCTAAGTTGTGAAGTCAGAAGACCACAATTTTAAAAAGTCAGGCTTAACTCTTGCCTTTGTGGTTCCTAGCTGTGTGATCTTTGCATGGAGATAGGTTACCTCTCTCCCTGACCCTCAGTTTCTTCATTTATATATGAGGACTAGTAATCTTTATTTTACCAGGTTATTGAGAGCATCACATGTGAGTGTGCATGTGAACACCCTCTATCTTCCACAGTGTAGTGTGTATTCATTTAATACTGAACTCCTTAGGGGCAGAGACTGTGTAAAATACTTTTCTTGTAGCTCCCAGAGTCTAATACAGGGTAGATACAGAGAAGGTATGTAATAAATACATGTTAAACTGGACAGAATTGATTGCCATCTGTTTACAGGCAGGGTATGGCTCCACCCTACATTCTGGGTGCTGGTTAGGGAGTTGACCAGAGTCTCCATCTTTTGGAAACTCTCTCCACCTCCAACCCCTGTACCACCTCTGTCCTAGACCCCATTCGCCAGCCAGATGTCAGCAGATGCTGACACAGTGACTCTCAAACCAGGCTGAACTCAGTGAAGTTGCTCTTTCGCCAGCTCACAGAGAGAGATGAGTCCATGGCTTTAGAACTCAGTCTTAGGTTATCCCATGTGACTTTGTCTTAAATCTTAAGCATGGCTTGGTGTTAAATCTTCAACATTTGCTACCATCTGTCTGCCTGGGAGCCCTCATAGAATACAAAACAAGTAACCAAGCTGCAAGTGAGCATTTAAGAAAGAATTGGAAAAAGCTGACCATGCTTAGTCAGATTGGTGCTATGGTTTGGGGGATATATTTTATTATGGTTTTTATTTTAGATCCTCAGAAGAAAGTCTGCTAGTCAAACTGTTCTCAGTTCACATAATAGAGTTAAATCTGTCAGTGGTTTACAGTATTCTGCAAAAAGGACTTTAGCTTCCAGGGACTCTGTCTCCCAAGACAGGGAACTTCTGCCAAGTGCCTTGTGGAGGCAAGCAGGAACACAGGGGAAGAGGACAGGGGTTTCCAGAGAGGGCATTGGTATAAAATGTGGCAGCAGATTGGGTCAGAAGACAGCTGGATGTAAGAGGGTCAGCCTCTTGCCTCTGTTTATTCCCTGGAAGTTCAGAAACTAAATGGATTAGACACTGCCCCATTAAAGACCCTGCTGACTGGCAGAGAAACCAGCCAACAAAGGCTGATCAAGTAAACAAATAATCACATGATGTAAGTCAGAGATTTGCTTGCCTCCACCTGCTGTGCTCCTAGCAACACGACCTTGGGTGGGGGTGGGGGACAAACCCTGGCTACTAGGCCATACCTGGCTAATGCTATACACAGGGGGCACCAAGCTGTCCTGCCCCAAGCCTGGATGGCTCCAGGCAGCACTGAAGGTGGCGTGCATCTTCGAGGAGAAGTGAAGGACCAGCTGCTGGGCCTGGGTATCCATGCTCACATTCCAGGATGGGGCTGCCAGGGTGGGAAAGAGCATAATACAAGACATTCTGTTTGTAGGAAGTGGTAGGAGCTGGGTTGTGGTTGATAGAGAAGTCAGGGCAGGGCTAGAGTCTGGCTTGGTCACAGTTGGGTAAGGGTTAAGCGGTGGAAGGGGGTCCCAAAAGGGTCATTTATTGGCTCACCAGTCCCGCGGGGGCATTCAACATGGCTGCTATTTCCAAAAGAGAACTGAGAAATCCAAGAATGGCAAGTCAGCAAGCTCTAGGCACCACCCATACCCTTCCCCATCCCCTGTCACCCATGCTTGTACCTTGAAGCAGAGCTGGGGGTGCAAGTCTACTCCCTCCAAAACATACCACTGTGGTAGGAGAAGGGAGTTAGTCAGGGAGCAGAGCCCTGGGCCCTAGCCCTGCCCACTCAAGTCCTGGGCAGGCCTGTCTCACCCCCTGTGACTCTCGAGCCGTGGCATTGGGGAGGTCTTCACAGAGGGTGTGCCAGCCCTGCCTCTGGCAGAGGGAGGCCTCCAGCTTCAGTGGGCAGCGGAGTGTTAGAGCCATGACCATCTGACTGTGCTGGCTGTAGTCAGTAAAGTGCACTGACTTCCAGAAGTCCAAGCCATCTGGGTAGGCGGCAGGCAGGGGCAGAGAGTGAGGCCTGGGGAGGCCTAGGCCCTGCTTCAGCCTCAGCCTCGCTTTGCACCCCAATCCCCAGAGCAGCAGGGGATGACTTTTTGAAGACAGCCAGCAGAGTTGCTGGAATGTCTAGGTACCCAATAAATGAGCATGCCTTCTCCAGACCTTTTATGACCTTTTCTACTTAAACTGTCTCCTCTTCTTCCTGTGCCTCCATTCTGGCCAGCTCCCTGCTGCTACCCAAACTCAAAATCCATATATTTTTGCTTAGGTTCCTCTTAGAACCAGGAATGTTCCCCTCCCTATTCTCCTTTTGAAATCCTGCCCACAGATTTCCTTTTGACATCCTGCCCATGGGGATCCTGCTTGGGTGAGCATCAGTTGGTTGAGCATCCAACTTTGGCTCAGTTGTGGTCTCATGGTTTGTGAGTTCAAGCCCTACATTCAGCTCTCTGCTGTCAGCATGGAGACTGCTTCGAATCCTCTGTCTCCCTCTCTCTTTGCACCTCCCCCACTTGTTCTCTCTTTCTCTATTAAAAATAAATAAACATTAAAAAAAATAAAATCCTTCCCATTTTCTGAGCCCACCTCAGGTGTCATCTTCTATAAGAGACCTTCTCTGCTCAGACAGCCTGCATGGGATTCTCCCTTTCCTGAGTTCATGATCTACAGCCTAATCCTTAATTATAACAATGGTTTGGACTGTAGGCTGCTTTGTGCTTCTCATTTATTATGTTTCAGGGTCCTGTCTCTTTAATTTGGGGATAATAACATATATACAGCATTTTAGACATCACCAACCACTTTCACATAAATATTGAATTCAAGATTCATTTCCTCAACAGTTGGAAAGTAAGGCAGGGAAGGTATCACTACTTTACTGACGAAGAAACTGAGACTCAGAGAGTAAGTGGGATGTGACCCCAAGATTTCTGGTCCATCCTCTTAGGACACCACCTGCTGGGTCTCATATTTCTGAACCTCTCACAGTGCCTAATACAATGTTCAATACTGATATATTGGCAGGCTGATTGGTAGATGTGATAGCCCTTTTCCCCCACCAACTCCATGGAAAGTGCCTGCATGGCTTCTGGGGCTTCCTCCACAGCATAGGTGCAAAGTGTGTGTGTGTGTGTGTGTGTGTGTGTGTGTGTGTGTGTGTGTGTGTAAGAGAGAGAGAGAGGCTGTGAATACACAAGAGTGCATATGTACAGCACTTACAGGCTTCAGGCCAGTTCTGGAAGGGGCATTTTTTGCACCTCACAGTGTCCTCTTGCAGGTAGGATGCCTGCGGGGACAGGGGAGAGCAGTCAGGGAAGGTCATAGGAATGGCTTTTCCTGTATCACTCATATCTGAAACTCATTCTGGCTTGACCCTTCCCTGATGCAAGCTGCCTGAGCTGGCAGAGCATGGATGAGGGGAAGCAGGGCAGTGTATGGGCAAGGGTAAGTGGTGTGTGACCAGAGTACAGGAGCAAGACCAGTAAGTATGGGGCTGGGGTTGAGTCCTCTTCTCCCTGGAGAGCAGAACCTATCCTCCCCAGAAAGAGGAGAGGTCCATGTTCCTCCACTTTTGGCTTCCCTGGCTTCTGCCCTCAGTGATTCCCAAGGTGTCCGGTGCGCTGTGTGGACCCCTTCCCCTGGACTGCCCAAACACCCTGGCTGTTGCTTTCTGCCTCAGGTATCTGCCTGAACCTTCCCTTTTGTCTCCTCCTGGTTAACAAGGTCCCCTGAGTTTTCTGTTTAGTTCAAATAAATCTTAACGCCAGGCACCTCAGCTTCATAAGGATTGGAGAGCTGCTATGGAGAGCTTATGGGGACAAGACTTTTGGAGCCACATGAAACCTTGCAGTGGCCACATGTGCCTCCACTGTGACTCTTCAGAACACACAGCGAAGGCAACTGTGTATTCTGTCTCTGTGGGATGAGGCCAGTCTGAACCAGGGAAAGCTGGGTTTGGGTAGGACTAAGTTGGAATCACCCCCCAAAATGTCCCATGTTCAGCAGGACACTTCCATCTCTGACCCAGTGTGTGGCTCACAGTCAAGTTGGTAGCAGTCTTCCCAAGCATCTCATCAATACCCAGTCTTTTTAAGGCCTGACTTACTGGAGATATGCTTGACCAACTGTGCCTCTAGGAGTCCTAGGATTGGAGCCATGGACAACCCATACATTTTCCTCTGCTCACCTCTATGCACAGACACGGCAGAAAGAATTCATAAGGCAGGTCTACAGCATGGCCCCCAGACACAATTTTCTGTTGACAAAACAGCAAAAGGAGTGAAGAGGTGCCTGCTGAAAGAGTTTAGGCACCCTGGACAAGGGCAGCAGGAAGCTGGGACCTTGGCCAACACCCCCCATTTTTCCTCTTATAGGAGAGTTATTTCTTTCACCAAGAAACTTCCTCCCAGGGAGGAGGGAGGTCCCTGCTCTGTAGTCTATTTGCTCTGGGTATCTCAATATATGGAGTGGGGAAAGGGAGGAAATAGGGAAAGGATTATACATTTCTGGAGACCCTACTCTATGCCAGGTAGGTGCTAGAAGCATTAACTCGATTAATTAAATGCCAGCATCTAAAATGATCTTTGTTTTTATAAATGAAGAGAGCTGAGGGAATCAGAGGTATAGCCTCATTCCCTGCAAATGATACCAAGTGCATACAAGGGCATCCACAACAACTGGAGGTTCAAGTGGGGTATCAGGGCCAAGGTTGAGTGAATGGGGAACAACTCATTCTCTGAGGCGCAGCAACAAAAGGAAGGAGATGGAAGGGTACCAAGACAGATGTGACCACTTCCTGGCAGGGGGGGCGGGGATTGAAAAGCCTTCTTAGTGCAACCTGAATCTCATTAACGGTCTTCTCACTGGGGATAAATGCCATATTCATTTCTCTGCTAGGCGTTCATGGCTGCTCCAGGTGTCTCTGTCTGCCCTTTCCCTTCTGCATTTTCTGTCTAATCCAAAGAAGGCTTAATGCTAGGCACTTCAGAAATGTAGTAAGGTCATAAACAATTACTGTCCCTCTCTGGGCCTCAGTCTCCCCATGTATACAACAGAGAGGTCCTTTTTGCTGCAGTGCTGTGTGATCTGGTTTTTCAAAGGGAGACAACACTCCAAACCTGGGCCTCGAAGGGACTGCTCAGCTCCTCGCATTCTAGTGCCCACTGGTGACAAAGACGCACGCTGACCTCGGGTCCCGGGGGAATGGTCACTCGAATAGCCCGTGCCTCAGGCAACAATTCAAAGGAGAACTCTGGCCCTGGGGAGAAGGAGAACTGGTAGTCTTGTCTCTTGGCCTTAGCGCAGTCACCATTACTTGGCTGCACCCATCTCTGGTCATACCCCATGCCTACCTCCATGCCTTTGTGAGCTGGGTCTGGGGAGACCTTCCATTGCCTTTGCATATGAAGGTTGGGTCCTTTTAGAGCGTGATCCCTTGTGAGAGATGTCTGGGAAGGGGACAGCAATGTGATGACCCTTCTCAGACAGGCAACAGCTATTCAGCAGCTTCCTCTGTAGGCAGAGAACAGGGTTGGCCTTAGGCCAGGAATCGGGCTTCTATTACTGCTTCTGGAACCTGGGGTACCACAGGCAAGTTGCTCAACCTTTAGACCTCAGTTTCCCTAACTGTGTAACAGACAGAATAGTCTACTTCATCACCATGTTCTCTATCTCTCATGTGGCTAGAGAACAAAATGAAAGGCCAGAAAGGAAAGGGCTGTGAGGTATAAGGCAGGGCTGGAACTGGCAGGGGGAGTACCTGAGCAGATGCTGGCATCTTGTGTCTCCTACAGAACCGGAACTTGTATGACTTTTTGTATTTCTGCACCAGGAAGTGGATCCAGCCCCCCTGGAGGTCTGTGCAGGAAAGGACACATTGACTATCCAGCCCTTCACTGCCCCTCCCCTACCTGGAAGTGTGGCCTGATGTTAGGCAGGAAGTCATTTGAGATCATGGAGGGTAATGATATCAAGCTTCTTTAGTCCTAAAAATTATGATATAGTCAAAAAAGGATTAATTCCTTAGGTAGAGAAAAAGCTATATATATGCAAAGATGTCCACTGTAGCATTATTTACAGCAGTGAAAAATTAGAAACTGCCAATTGTTAAACAGTGTCTGGGCATTTAGTATGTGCCAGGCACTAAGCTAGGCAATTAAAATACAGACTTGAATTAAGAAAGATCTTACTTTGTGAATAGAAGGTAATAATAGGAAACTCACAGAACTAAAACATTTTAATGCCAAGAATTGGTACCAGTGGAAAGGAGAAACACCTTCACAAAATGATAAAAGTGAACCCATGAATATCAGTCATGCTATGCTATTTTAGGATGACCTGTCTCTGTTGAGGTTGACAATAGGACAGACATCTGTTCTAGGATGATAAGTCCCACTTTCCTCAGCCTGCCGCACCCCGCCCCCCGCTCCCCGCCAATGCTCCTAATTCCCATCTCCACTGAGAAGGGCCCAAAGGGCTATTTCTCATACCTGAAGGATTTGACATCAGATGCAGGTGCAAATAGCAGGCGGGGAGCCAGAGCTGAGCACACCAGGACTTTAGAGACACAGGAAGGGCCAACTGGGTATGGCAAGGAATATGAGCAGACCCTCCTGGGAAGGATGATAAGAAAATCAAATGATAGGGTCCAAGAAGGTCCCTCTTGCCTCAGACAAGTTGCACTTGAGACTGAGATGTGTGGCTTTGAGCAAGTGACGGATCTCTCTAAGCCTCAGCTTCCTCATTCATAAAGTAGGACTGTTGTCAAGATCAAGTAAGATAATATGTGGGAAAATGATTTGTAAACCAGAATGTACCATAAGATATGAAGGAGTGTTGTATCTCCGACAGGAATGAGGGATCAGTTAAGGGAGAGAGATTATCCTCTGTCTCTCATTTAATCCTCCCCTCAGCCCAGGGGCAACAGTTTTCATGGTACCATCATTTCTACCGCACTGCTCTACCCCTCAGAAATGGAGAGTCAGAGGGACTAAGGGCACTGCTTGCAGCCACATGTGGAGTATGTGGTTGAACTGCAATGCAAATCCAGGCTTGTCTTGATTCTAAACCCCGTGATTTTTCCTTGTTATGCTACTTCCCAATTTGGGAACAAAAATGACTAGCTCATTAGGGATCTGGAACAAAAGGGACAAAGAAGAGAATCGGGGCAGGGAATGAGACTCACCAGTGAGTGCGTCTTCCTGAAGGCACAGGGCCCAGTAAGGGTAAGAAAAGAGAGAAGAATTATTAGTAGAGATTCCCATGGGGGGCATTCTCCCTGAGGTCTTTGGTTCAAATCACCTAATTCTAAGGTCCATAAGCTAATAGCCCATCCACTCTAGCTCTTTTCTTTCTAGCTCAACCCTGCCCAGGCCCTCAGCACACCAGAACCTTGGCTACCCCTTTGAGACCATATAAACGACACACTGGGGCTGTCACCAGGGCACAGGGACTTGGAAGGCAGAAGAGGACAGGCCGAAGAGTGGGGACCTTTACCAGCCTGTGGCAGGCAGCTGTCCCCACTGGGCAGTGGGGGTATCTTACCATGTGGGAGGCCAGCAGACAGTGGGTGCTCCAGTGCAGAAGATAGGGGCAGCCAATCCCAGAGGAGGCAGAGAGGCCAATGAGCAGCAGGAGAGGCAGGAGCAGGGCTGCCAGTCTGGGGCTCCCCATGGACTTCCGTGGGGTCAGAGCCCCCAGAACATGGCTGCACAGCCTGAAGGATGGCAGGGACTTGCTGTTCAGTAGCAGAGAGTTCAGGGAGCAGGAGCCCTCGCCTCAGCCTGCCACTGCCCCGCCCTGCCCCAAAGCTCCTCCTCGATCCTAGATCCTAACCAGCCAGCCAGGCCACATTCCTTCCCCTAGCGGAGGGCCGGAGGGACACTTGCTCGCGCCACCCCCCCCCCCCCCCCCCCAATCCTACTGCCCCCACCTGGAGGGCAAGGGGCTCCTGCTCTGGCAGAGAAATAACAGGAAAGAGGCCAGCACAGGGTTAGGAGGATGGAGGGCTGTACCTATTTCTTAACCCCTCCTACTGCCGCAACACCCGCCCACTACCGCTCTTGGACTTGGGAGCTTCCTTGGAGACATGCTACATCCCCTCACTTAGAGAATCAATAGAGCTTTTAAGCACTGTTCTGCAATGGGGCCTGGAGACAATGGTGACGAAGGCACCACTTAGAGTTGAACAGAACAACAAAAAGTCATTACAGGATGCATATAAATCGCACATGCTCCCATACTCCTCCTGCTCCCTACCTGGGTGACCCTCAGGACTATAGACTAGCTTCCTCTCTCCACCCAGCTCTTCTGGGCAAAGGGCTCCAAGCCAAAGGGACCTCCAGCTTCAAGGATCCTCTAATCAGTACTGTCTGTTCAGGAAGCCCCAGAACTCATAGCTGAGCCCTGGAGCTGAGGGAGCAGGCCCCACGCACTGACCTGGTTTTCTGTGGTTTCTGATGCTGACGAGGCTCCAGGCTTTGTGGGGACCCTCCCTATCATCCCACAGCTTCCTCCTGCTCATGGAGCATTTGAACTGCTTTAGTCCTCATTTTGGTGACACACATAGAAAGCAAGTTTGGGGCACACCTACAGGGTTAAGTCATCTTGAGATTGTAGCCTGACTATAACCTTCTTTAGGCCAATTCTAAGTCTTCAGGTCCACAGTCTGAAGACCCATTGTACTCATTATCCTAAAAATACCCTCTAACTTTTGAGTTCCTCAGAAGATAAGGACCCTTTCCAATAGTTAAGTTCTCCAATGCACAGCAGTGGATGTCAAGAAATACGTGCTTTGGGCGTTCCTGGGTAGCTCAGTCAGTTGACTCTTGATTTTGGCTCAGGTCATAGTCTCGCCTTTGTGAGTTCCAGCCCTGTGTCCACAGCCCTGTGTTCCAGCCCACTTTGAGTGCAGAGCCTGCTTGGGATTCTCTCTTTCCCTTTCTCTCTGTCCCTCCCCTGTTTTTTTTTCTCTCTCTCTCTCTCTCAAAAATGAATAAACTTAAAGAAAAAGAGAAATAGGGTTTTGTAGTTGAATAAATATAAATGATACATTTAAGTAGCATTTATCTGCTTCACATTTCACAAGCACTTTCATATTTGATCCTCCTAATCACTTCATGAGAGAGGTAAGTGAGAATTATTCTTTTCATTTCATAAAAAGAGAACATTTCAGGGGCACCTGGGTGGCTCAGTTGGTTAAGCGCCCGACTTCGGCTCAGGTCATGATCTCGCAGTTTGTGGGTTCAAGCCCTGCGTCAGGCTCTGTGCTGACAGCTCAGCGCCTGGAGCCTGTTTCCGATTCTGTGTCTCCCTCTCTCTCTGTCCCTCCCCTGGTCACACTCTGTCTCTCTCTCTCTCAAAAATAAATAAACACTAAAAAGAATTAAAAAAAGAGAGAGAGAGAACACTTCATAAAAAGGAAACAGAAAGAAGAGTGATTTTGTCAAGGTCAAGGTTTATAGCCCAGGGAGCTCCAATTCTGCCAGCCTCCCACAGTTCATCTCATTTTCTACCATCCTGTAGTCTTTCTTCCCACTGCCTCATCTCCCTCTGCTCCTGGGAACCTAAAAGAGTTTGCATGGCAAGGATCTGTTTTTTGGCCTTGGAGCCCATCACTGAAAAAACAGATTAGTTAAGGGGCACCTGGGTGGCTCAGTGGGTTAAGCATCCAACTTCGGCTCAGGTCATGATCTCACAGTTCAAGAATTTGAGTCCCTTGTTGGGCTCTGTGCTGACATCTCGGAGCCTGGAGCTTGCTTCAGATTCTGTCTCCCTCTCTCTCTGCCCCTCCCCCACTTGCACCCTCTCAAAAATAAACAACAAAATAATATTTAAACAAAAATAAATTTAAAAATCCGATTAGTTAAGATATGAAGGAAGAAAAATGTGGTCTGGCCATACTAAGGATAGGTTAAGTAGTTTTCCCCCTCAATTTTTACCGAAACCAAAGTGGTTTAGATCTACATAACTAATGCAATTTCCAACGCTAAGGGCATAAAGTAAGAGACTTGGTTCTATTCTAGAATACTTTTCTTTCTTAACCTCTTATATCTTCTGCTCTGTCACAGTGAAAATATTTCCTTAATTTCTCCCTGACCCTGGCTGAAGTATGGTAGGAGAAGCAGAAAAGAAACAAAAAGGACCCACATTCACACATAAAAAGGAAAAAAAGAATAGAAAGGGAAGAACACAAGCACCTAGAAAAGGAAAAAGAATAAAGATGAGTAAGAAAGATAGAAGAGAGAAAAGAAGGTGTGTTTTATTTATTGTCTGCTAGTTTGCCTATTGACTGAAGAGTCTGTTCCAAAAATGATTTAAAGTAAAAAGCACAGAAGGTGAGTTCCAACACATCCTGGGAAAGAGTAGGGAATCAGTTCAAGATTTGCTAAACTCTTACTATCAGGCTCTGGGCCATATCTCATTTTATGAGTACTACAAGCCTTGAGGTCAGTCTTATTAAACCATTTTACCGACTGGAAAACACTAGGAAGATTACGTAATTTGCCCAAATACAAAAATGGAGAGCTGGGATTCACCACCCTATCTTTCTGGCTCTTTCTGCCAGAACACACTGCTTGGGGAGATATGTGGGAAGTCAGAGGGTTTCTGGGCCCTACGGTCCATGGAAATACTAGATTTAGCAATGTGATGTAGTTAGTAGGGTTAACAATGTGAAGGAAGGATTTGGAAAGAACAGGTCTTATGACAGTGAATTAGTGGTCAGACTTCCAGATGAGCAGAGATTGTTTGGCAAGTGTCAACACAGGAGTAACTGGCTGGAAATAAGAGGTAGCCAACTAGAGTAAAAGCCAACTGTAGCACAGAGGCCCTGTCCTCTTGCAAGATGGCTGAGCCTGCCAAATCTGTGGTTTGTGTCTGAAGGAGCGGACCCCAGACTTCATGCTCTAATAACCTTTACTTGGGGACCAAGCCAGCAGCTGAGGAAGTCTTGGCAGGCCCATGAACATGCTCAGAGACAGAGTACACTGTGGGGGCTGTGGACAGCTGTTTTTCTTGAGCCTTACTCTTATATGGACTCTGGTCAGACCATGCAGCAGCACCTCCAGGCTCTTTCTGTAATGGCTGATTCTTAAAGTCTGTTGGGGCAACTGTGCCTACTACTGTTAGGACACCTTGGACAAGAGGGGCCAACCCATTAGAAAATGTAAACCAAGAGTGGACAAGTGTCCCTTCCTCATTTCTGCTGTTCCAGAAGGGATCAACCTCTAGAATTCCAAGGCAAGAAATTATGCCTAACAGAGGAGGTAGGGACCCCCAGTGTGAGAAAGGGAAGTTAACAATGCTCTTCAAGGAAAGGGATCTGGATGTTTATTAAACACCTGCTATGTATTTTATTTAATCCTCACAATCCCGGTAGCTACTATGATTCCCACGTGTCAGATCAAAATCAGAGACTCAAGTATCTTGCTCAAGGCAAAAGGTAGAATTCCAACCTAAGTCAATCTAATATCAGAAACTGTTCACTCCACTACACCACACTGCCTTTCTCATGGACCAGATGCTCTCTAAGGGTCCCTCCAACGCCTATATTCTAGATGTGCAAACATTAGGGAATTACCATTCCTTACATTTATATACTGTTACACAGTTCACAAAACATCTTCATAATACTTCATTTGTCTTCAAAACAATCCTGTGAAATATGCAGTGTTGATCCTAGCCATAGGACTAGGTGTGCTGGTACTTGAACCCATCTTCCACCATCCAATATAGTGTTCTTCCCATTAACTCAAGATCTCTTTCAACGTTTATTTTTTTATTTTTGGGACAGAGAGAGACAGAGCACGAACGGGGGAGGGGCAGAGAGAGAGGGAGACACAGAATCGGAAACAGGCTCCAGGCTCCGAGCCATCAGCCCAGAGCCCGACGCGGGGCTCGAACTCACGGACCGCGAGATCGTGACCTGGCTGAAGTTGGACGCTTAACCGACTGCGCCACCCAGGCGCCCCAACTCAAGATCTCTTTCAAAGGGGATCTTGTTTGCTTTGGGGAATGCTACAACCTTGAGGCAGGAAAAAAAAATGACTGGAAAAGCAGATTCCCAATAACCCAACAAGCAGAAAACAAAAATAAACCAAATGGCTTTTTCCCCCATTCACAGCCATTCCATAATAGGTCTTCAAAAGCACTCTAAGACTATAAAATTTCATTCCAATAATCAGAGAAAATTTTAACATTATTTATTTTTGAAAGTTTTCACTTAAAAGTTTTTATTTGCATCCCAATTCTTTGAAAATAAGCTATTTGTGCCTGATGCACATAATTCCATTACCCACACATTTCCATCTGCCTTCCTTCACTCTCCAAATTCTACTCCTGCCGCAGTCTAATTTTTTCCTCTATGCAATACATCCTGACTTCACTCTACAGTAGATCAAGTTACTTCATTCAACAGAGTACACACTATGTGTCAGGTACTGAGCAAGGGGTGAGGAAAAGACATGTAAACAAGTAATTCTGTCAATAAGAGGTAAAATAAAAATGCCATGTGGATTCAAAGAAAGAACTCTTTACTCCTCAAATTGAAGCAACCAGAAGGCTCCAGAATTACCATATAAACTGAATCTTGAAGGATAGGCAATAAAGGCATATGAAGGTATAAAGGGGACATATTTAAGCAAACTGGGAAAACATGAAAGCAGTATGAGGAC